GGGGGTCATCCTAAGCCCTTCGTGAACATTCCATAAACTCACCTTCATAGGACTGTCCTCTACCTTGCTAGTAGGTGGGCAGGGGATATGTTGCGAGATTTGCTGACACCGCCTCAGCAAAGATATTGTCTGGGCAACTAGGCAATGCAACAGCCCTCCATTTGAGCAGCGTTAATCCTTCTCGTTGGAGTTCTAAGAGAGCAGCGCCCGCTCCACCTGTTCCCCTATCAGCATGACAAGACCCGTCAAATTGTACTAGTAGTGTTGTTTTGTCAGACTCAAGATAGCTGCTGAGCACTTCATCGGTGCCTATAGGCTGCAATGCCGTAATACGGCAATGATAGTCACCACACTCACACTGGAAAGTGGAGAGCGAGACATTGGGGGGAAAGTGGAGAGCGAGACATTGGGGGAAATTCCTGTTCCAAACTGGATAGTTTGCTGAATTAATTGTAGAGGTTCAGAGCCTAAGGGGACGACCGCAACCGGTTGATTGGCTTTCACTGCTTCACGCGTAATGCATACCCGAGCTGGTGCAAGGGCGCACGAGATGTGGAGTGGGGGTTTGTCACAGCACCAGAGTAGCGAGTCATCAACAGAACAGTGGGCGGAAACTAATTGTGTCCTTACATGCTGCATACGAAGGTCCAGGGGTAGCTCTGTTTGTACTCTTTGCACGAGGTTATGGATCCAGGTATTCATGGGGATAAGGGGAGCAGAGATTTGATGTCTCATTGCACCAGCTTCCCGTAGTAGCAACCTGAATTGATGTACTACTCGTGAGGCTATTGCTAAGTGCTTAACGCTTTTCCTTGACCCTTCGGCCAGCGACAGTATTGAATCATCTCCTGTTAGGCTTCGTAGTGCACTGATAGGTACTACGCACCACCGAACCCAATGCCCTACAGTATTGTCTCCCTTTGTACATGCAACGCATTTTTCCCAGTCTTCACTTACTGGCAATTCTTCTTGCATAGGGAGTTCTCTGTGTGATGCCTCAAGCAGTCTGACAAGGGAGTCTGTCGTAAAGGCCGTTAACTGTTTGGTTACTATACAGGTTTCACAAATTGCGGTTTGATAGCCGCCGAGTGGGTATGCACGGCCAAAGTTTGCGCAGAGCGCACATCTTTTTTGCCGGCTTTGGCCACGGCGTGCCAACCACTCATCATCATCCTCATTGACTGCCCAGCGTAGCAAGGTGAACCTAGTAATACTAGGATCCATCGCTTGTTGACCTCGCACGCATGACTGAGCCATGCCCAGCTGACTCCTCCTGTCCATCCTGCTGTTAGCACTTTGTTACGAACATAGTGAGACGCAAGTTGCATCATGTGATGAAGCACACATTTTTTGACTGCATTTATTCGTTGTTTAATTGTACCACTTCCTGACACAGCTCTTGTTAGGACATCTTCAACGACACGTGCCCACGCTTGCCATAGTATTCTAACTTCGTGTGTTTGTCTGTTCACTGCCGGTGGACTCTCAACATAAAGTTCATGAACCTTTCCTCCTTTTCGCAAAAATAGCCCTAATGCAGAAACAAGGATACTTACACCAGGGTCAAGTAGTGGTGCAATTTTACACAATCGAAATACGAAGGCAAGGAGGTCTGTCTAATCCAGCTACGTCCTAGTAGGAGTTCAGTTGCTGCTGCCCGTAGCATTTGAAGATCTTCCGTGGCAGCACCAAAATAGGATGTAGTATATAGTACAACACTCTGTGCAAACGTATTGAAGGCAATACTCTTAGAGACAACCGAGAGGATTGGCTGCCTAAACAGCCTGAGCCGATGTATAAACTTTTCGGCAGCTTTAGGATTGATTTGTTTCAGGGTAGTAGGATGTGTAGTTACTGTCCATAAGTCACGATCAGACAATTGGGCACGCCCCAGCAGTAATAGCCCGAGTGAAGTCGCAACACCTTGGATGCAGTGTGCTCCGAAGCCTGACTGATCTAACTGACGGAGCACCCAGCTTGGAAGCGGACTGTTGATTACTAAAGCTGTTTTGCACCTACAGTTACACTCCAATGCCAGCAACGAGCATATGGGTGTGTAGTCAGTTCCGTTGAGGATCCGGCAAGCTTCTCGAGGGGTCAACCCAATACACTTGTCGGCTCGTGCAATTATGAGTGTCTTTTGTGAAAGGATAGCCGATAAGATCGCTGCTCGTGCGGTTGGGTATGTCTTCTGCCTGAGGATAACTTCACTTTCGATCCGCCCAGGAAGGGATTGGACTGAAAAGGGGGGACAGTCAGAGCTAATAGCTTGCCAACAAGTATGCTGGTCAATTTGAAAACCTGCCGACCAGCAACATTGATAGCACTTGTGGACTCTACTTACCCAGGTAATGTCATGTCCTGGTCCTGCAATCGTGTTGTCGTCAATGTATCCCTGAACGCTAATGACCCGGGGGATACGATTCATATAGTGATATATCGGGTCCATTGCCAAACAGAACGGGAATACTGAGAAAGACCTTCCCATGTCTACTCCCACATGCACAGCCCTAGGCGGCAGAAGTCTGCCTTGAACTTTATGGCGGATGAGCCGTCCAAATAAGATGTATTTGGCATAATTACATACCCATGTCGGGGCGTTGCGCATTCGCAGGATATGTAAGATCCAATAGGGATTAACCCGCTCAAAGGCCTTTGATAGATCAACTAGTAGCGCAGCCATGGGAGTATTACTGTCCAGTAAGGCTTGTATGGCATGGACTGCGTGCTGCGGTTCTTTAAAGCAATTCATGACTACTTGCGAAGGATGCATATATGCACAAGTTGCTTTCATGACTACAGCAGCAATGGTGCCATCAACAAGCCTGTCACACGTATTGGGCATTCCTAATGGTCTGAAGTAGTCCGCAGTCGGACCTACTTTTGCCTTGGGTATCCAAACCCCTACCTGTACTGGTGCAGCTCGCAGGCCTGCTAGCATTTTCATCATTAGTTGATCTAAGACTGGGTAGCTGTCTTCAGGGGAGAGCCTCCATGCAGAGTAGGGGATTCCATCCGGGCCAGGGGCTGAATCTTTAGTGCCCAGGAGTGTATGGAGAAAGTCCTGTTTCTGGGGGAGTTCAATACTTGGCCACGGCGAGGCAGTTTGATATTCCCGTAAAATGGGTTCCCATTCTTGAAGAGAGTCTTGAGGCTTAACAAACCAAAAGTTCCGCGTGTCCAGCATGGCTTCGTCCAGCATCTGGGAAGTGGTGCACTGTTCTCCCTGCTGATTGAGGATCGGCCCATTATAGATGACGCCCTTGGGGCAAATAGATCGTAACCGATTCCAAAACGTAATGTTATTGCCGATACCTCTGGCTTGTTGATTCACCTGCTCAAGAGCGGGATACTGCCGAGTCATCGTGATCTGATCTAGAAAATCAAAAATCTGTTTCAACAGATCACTTCGAATAGTTATTTTTCCTGGATAGAGCTCACTAACCACGTTAGAAGTAAAGATATGGTAAGTGGCAGTCTGAAGTGCATGGAATTGTTTTGCAGGTACGTGTAACACTTCAGCTCGAATTTTAAGGAATTTCCGCAGAAGTTCATGCTCGGGAATGCGAGGATGATCAGATGGAATAGGTTGTTGTCGCCACCAAGACCACAGGGTGGACACAAACTCAACTTCATCTGTTTGGGGTAGTCTTTGAATCCTTCTTATCAGCTCTTGTAGATCGTTGGGAACCATATAGGGGTTAGCCTCGTTCTTTCCAGGGCAAAACACGTTAGTTGGGATGGTTTGATGGATTGGGTCTTTCATGTCACGTTTCACTAGGCGCTAGCCTTGTTACCTTATCAACTCGCAGGTGTGGCGTGAGCCACCTCAACCCCAAAAAAAAAAACCTGAACCCCCCCCCCCAAAAAAAAGAGTAGGAGGGATTGGAGGCGAGAAGAAACACTCTGTGTTTGCGAGAGACTTTTTGTTTGTGTTTCTTTTTTAAATTCTGTCGTTTGAACCCCAACTGTTTGAAACATTCAACCTGGTTTGTGGAATGTTTGTTATCTGGGGTCACTGCGTAATCTGTGATTGATGCAGTTTCCCCTCAAGTGAGCTCGTTGGCAGTTGGCCAGCTGTTTTTGTTTCCGTTCATACGTTGATGCCCGCGGCCTTCCGCACTGCATCGGCTTTCCAGAAGGGGCTGGCTGCACTTCGGACTCCATCAGTGCATGTGTCATTCAATTCTTTTGGTCTGCTTTTGGTCTGCTGTGGCATTTTGTCATTCACTGTGGGATTTTTCGCAGCCTTTGCCTATTTACTTTGGTTTGAAAGTGGGGATGAGCGGTAATGACATGGATGCTTATGAATCGCATTTGGCTTTTTCAAAACGTGCAGTGTGGGGGTCAATTTTCAATCCAATTTATGTTGCGCGCCCTCCAATTTCAGCTCCTGGCAGCAGTATACCTCTGGTTCCAAAACCTTGTGGAGTGATCGCAGTGGCCACCCCTGAACATGAAGGTGATGACGAAGCTTCTGACAGACCTGAGGCGTTGAGGATCTTCAGAGCCAAGAGAACTGTGACAGGACGTTCCTGGGAGGCCTTGCTCAATTCTCAGCGGGTTGCAGCGATTCGGAAGTGGGCTGGAATCATTATGATGTATTTGAATTCATTTGAAATTGGCAGACAGTGGGACCGCTTGTCACCTATGGGACAGGCCTTGGGTGATGGTCTGAAGCACATTTTTGCAGGTAAGGCTACAGGAACTCTGCATGCGCGTGCAAGCCCAGTCCTGCGGTATATCATGTGGTGTGACAAGAACGGCATTCCAGCATTTCCTTTGGTTGAGGCTACGGTTTACAATTTCATGTGTGAACATGCTGACACTTCTGCACCAACATTTCTACGGTCTTATTTGGTTGCAATCAGGTTTTCTTTCCATGTCCTTGGGGTTACTGGTGGTGATACAGTCCTTGCAAGCAAAAGGGTAGAAGGGTGTGCACGTGAAGCTATCTGAAGAAGAGACGAACCCTGCAGAAGGACCCTCTTAGTGTTGCAATGGTCGAACACCTGGAGAAGATTGTCATGGCTGACAAGTATCCAGACCGAGACCGGGTGGCGGCAGGATGTTTCTTGTTGTGCATTTTCTTCAGGGCCCGTTTTTCAGATATGATGAACTTGCAGGATCTCATTTTGGATGAAATTGTCGTTGATGGAAGCCCCCATGGGTACATTGAAGGGAAAGTTGGTCGAACAAAATCAGCCTACACAACCGAAATGAAAACGAAGTACCTGCCGATGGTTGCACCGCGTTTTGGTGTTACCGGGGCTGACTGGTTCACCACCTGGAGGGAAGTTGGTGTCAGGTGTGGAAAACCGAGGGGTGAGGCTACGCCCATGCTGCCATATCCTTCCAAGGGCGGATGGACAAAGACACCTCTTGGAGCTGGAGAAGGTGCTGACTGGTTGCGGCAACTGCTGCAGGTGTCGGGTATACCGCCTGGAGCGCTTGGGAACATCGGAACACATTCGCTCAAGACCACAACACTCAGCTGGATGGCCAAGTTTGGGGCCCCAATCAGTATCAGGCAACATTTGGGATATCATATGCCGAGTGCCGACAAGATGGCCCTGCTGTATTCACGTGATGCATCTGCTGGACCGGTTAGGAAGCTTGAGGAATGCCTTGCTTGTGTCAGGGAGAAGACCTTTGTCCCTGATGCCACGCGATCTGGGTACTTTCCAATGCAGGGGCGTCGACTCGAGCCTGAAACTGAACAGGCCCTTTCTGGGGTTGGCACCCCTGAAACTGACACGGTAGTGGATTTCAGTGACACAGACTCTGAAGACTCCCGTGACGATGAGCATGCCTTTGAGGAACAAAACATGAATGAGGCGGCCATGGACCACGTGGTAGGCTCATGGAATGAACATGCAACTCTTGAAGCCCTGGGAGTTCAAGAGGACGCCCCGCTCTTCAGGAACCGATTCACCAGATACATTCATTTGCTTTCAGAGGAGGGGGGCAACAAGTTTCGATGCGGCAGGGAGATCAATAACAAATATGAAGAGCTTGAGATTAGGCCGAAGTTTATGTCACCGCAATGCAGCCAGTGTTTCAGAGATGCCCGTGGCTGAGATGAAAAACTTCATGACCTTGTGTGACCATGCTGACAACTTGAAACCATGATTCAATTTCTTTTGGAATTTTGAAACGCATGAGCAGTAATGCATGTTGCGCAACAGTCGAACCTGAGTGCCATTTGGGCGTGACCAGTTGGGTCAATCAACACTTGGTTGATGTGTTGGTTCAAGCGGCGTATTTGACGCCTTGTCGACGGGGGTCCACTTGGGATCCCATGCAACACAAATGCATGATTTCTTAAGACTGTCAGACACACCTAATCCTTTGCTTTAATAGGAGTTTCCTCAATTACCCATAGTCCTGACCTAAGGTAATCCTTCAATACCTTCATGATTAACTGATTCCGTTTCTTGCCTTTAGGAGTTAATCTGCGATGTCACTCACTGACAGTGAGCCAAACTTCAGGGCCCGAGCGGTTGCGCTTGGATTGGCAGATGACGTCGTTGAAGCCTTGTGCACTAATGGTGTAAACACACTTGCAAAGTTTGCCTTCAGTTCTGCATATGTCCCAGGCAACTCAGATGAGGCCCCATTCGTGACGACCATGACAACTGCTTTAGGTGCAGATCCAACCCTTGGACAACTTGCCTCACTGAGGAGGCTCTTTCACGAGGCCTACAGCCTTACAGCAGCGGAGCTTAAGCACTCAGTTGAGCGAGTTGAGGACATGCCAGTAAAGAAACTAGCACAGCCTGAACGTGCAGATAGGTTGAAACGTCAGCAATCCAAACTCAAAGGTATCCGTATTGAAGGAAAACTGGAACCAAGCGACAGACTGGTCGATCTTGCAGTGTCCTTGTATGAGGAAAACAGATTGCAGCATGTTGAACTTAGCAGGTGCACTTCAAAAGAACAGGAGGTTTTGAATTCATCCCAGCGTGAGGACAAACATGTTGCAATTGACGCAAGTGGGGCTGTCCGCATACGTGACAAGGAAAACAAAATGGAAGCAGACTTGTCATCAGATATGTTTGTCAGGTTGGCTTTGATGAGACGAGGCCTCGCCTTTGACCAGGCGAACTTGCTGGACTACCTGGAGCATGACAGGTGGGTTGAAAAAATCTTTGACTGTCGCGTCGCAAGTCAACCAGATGGATATACCAAAATCAGCATGCAGCAGATTATCAACGCAGACCGGAAGTTGTTTGTGAAACTTGCAGAAGGGAGCAGGTCAGGTGTCCAGACCACAGCCACAGGCCGACCGCTGGATGCAATTTTTAGGAACACCATGGAGCACCCTGATGTTTTACATTTGCTGCAGCCTCTGCCAAATAGCAGTAGCACTTCGGTCAAGAGGACAAGTGATGCCAGTCATGACAGGCCTGAGGCTAAAGTCCCCAGGCCAAAGAATAAGGGCAAGGGAAAGTCTAAGGGTCAACAAGGCGGTGGATCGCTCACCATCAAGATGCCTGTTGGGCTGGAAGGCGGGGCACCTGGGAACCGCAACAACCAGCCCATATGTTTTGACCACAACCTTCCTCATGGTTGCAAATTGCCCGTGACCAAAGGCTGCTGCCGGAAAGGTATGCATATTTGCTGCATGAAGAATTGTTTTCAGTCAGGTCATACCTTCCAGACGTGCCCAAACAAACGCAGCAACTGACTTGGGGAGTGCAATGTGTCACCTCACAACACTGGCACTGGTGACTCTGCAATGGATGCAGCTGGTGCGACAACAGTGGATGATCCTGACAGAAGGCGTTAAAGCGGGGACAACAAAACAGGGCGCTCCTTTGATCATAGAACTATGTGCAGGGACTGCCATGTTGAGTAAATGTTTCAAAGACAGTGGTTTTGAGCACTTGGCCATAGACCACAAATCTAACCGTTTTCACTCGTATGTCACTGTTTGCAATGTGGAGCTGTCGACAGGGCATGGATGGGCCTTCCTTCACCATATCATTGAGTATTACAATGTTGTTTTTATACACGCAGCACCACCGTGCGGAACATGCAGTCGTGCCAGAGAAATCCCGCTTGGTCCTGGCGGGGGGCCAAAGCAGTTGCGTAGTGAGGACTACCCATCTGGACTGCCACATTTGGAAGGCAGAGATCTTGAAAGAGTTCAACTGGCAAATGCGTTGTATAATGGCTTGACAAAGTTTTTGATGCAGTGCACCTTGCAGGGCATTCCATGGAGCGTCGAAAACCCAACCTCTAGCTATTTGTGGCTGATTCCATGCTTTGTTAATTTGATTGCCGACACGCCTTGCAGGTTTTACAAATATGATACTTGCGCATGGGGATCTACTCGAAAGTTGCACCGATCCTTCCTTTCAACTTTGCCTGAAATGTGCGGCATCCAAGCCCTATGTCCTGGCAACCATGAACATGCCCCTTTTGGGCGCACACGGCAGAGTGATGGAACCTTTAAATATGCTACTAGCGATGAAGCAGCATATACCAAACAGCTGTGTGTTCAAGTGGTTTCCATTGTGCAAAATGCGTTGCAACTTTTTCCGCTGCATCAATGCCCACAACCGATGACAAAGGTTGCTTGACGGCCTGCCTTCAACATGTTCCCAGTGGCTCAAAGCTGCTCAGTTTTTCGAAAAAGGGGGAAGGCGAGAGCAGCTTAGTTTTGAAGTTTGGTATTTACAGAACTCCCATGAAGTGGATTGACAGGTCTTTGACGTTGCACCACCCGTTTGACACTTTTCATGTCGTTCCTGATCAAATGCTTGATGTATTATTATTTTTCATTTTGACCACGTCCCCTGCAGATGTTTGCAACTTTCGAATCTCCAAAATGAAGCTCTGGATGAGTTGGGCAGAGGAGCTTGAAGCGCAAGAGAAAGAACACAAGTCACGCCTTGACCCTGAGGTTGGACAAGTTCTTGCCCCCAAAAGGCTCCTCCTGCTCAGAAAGATAGCTTGCAGCTTGGATTGGCCTGACACCAATCTTTTTGACGAAATTGATGCGGGCTTCAAACTCACTGGAATCCAGAGCCCTTCAAATGTCTTTGGGCTTGAACCCAGACCACCGCAAGCCTCTGAAGGGGAGTTATGGGCTAGCGCAAAATTCATTAGACCTGCGTTGATTGGCAAGGTCAAAAGTGCAGCTCTTAATACTGAGAGTCAGCCATTGTGGGATGCTACAATGGAGGAAGCGAGTAACCATCACTGGATGACTGGCCCGCATGCAGTTGAACAAGTTCATGATATTTTCAATGGGCAGCCTTGGATACCTGTGAGACGATTCGCAGTTCTGCAGTCCTCTGGTGATAGAACGAAGCTCCGGCCTATTGACGATTTCGCAGAAAACCGTGTGAACACTGCCTATGGCTACTCAGACAAGTTGGATTTGCGTACTTTAGACCAGGTAGTGTGGATGACAGCTGCCATCACCCGCGCACTGGCGTTGGGATATGTTTCATTTCGAAGGAGTGATGGAGCCCGTCTGGAGGGTAAGGTCCACTCCGCATATCTGGTAGAGGGTGGTGGTCAACCTCTCCTTTCTGTTTTGGATTTGTCATCAGCATATAAACAATTTGCGATCAGTAAGGAGTGCAGGCGGCTCTCTGTCATCGCTCTTAAGGATCCTTCAGACAATTCATGCAAGTGCTTCATTGGCAATGTGCTGCCATTTGGGGCGACGGCCAGCGTGGTTCATTTTAACCGCGTGTCCCGGCTGATCCACTCCATTGGGCTCCATGCTGGACTACTTTGGGGAAACTATTTCGACGACTTTCCAATGGTGGCACCTTGCTTATTGAAACAGTCCTCAATGAACATGGCTAAGCTCCTACTCGACATGCTCGGGTTCCAGTTTGCCGACCATAAACTGAAGCCCTTTGACTCAAAAGCCACTGTTCTTGGGGTCGAGATTGACACCAGCGAATCTATGAATGGTTTTGTCCTGGTGAGGAACAAGCCCGGCAGGGTGACAGAGGTCTCGGATACAGTCAATGGAATTCTGGCCCGTGGCACGTTGACGGCAAGGGAGGCTAGCCGGATCCTGGGCCGCATACAATTTGCAGATGCCCAGGTTATGGGTCGGGTTGGAAGAATTGCCATGCACGAGTTCCGGCTTGCCATTAAAAGCCATGAGAGCGTCACCCTAGATAGGTGTGCCGTCGAGTCTCTGCACATCCTTATGGACAGGCTCACTACTGGAGAACCCCGAATGGTCCCATGTTGTGACCAGCGGCGGCCCATACTGGTTTTTACTGACGGAGCAAGCGAGGTTGCTGGCCACACCATCGGGGGCGTTGTGTCCAATGGCAACCGCTTTGAATATTTTTCATGTGCAGTGCCGGAGCGCTTGGTTGAGGAGTGGGGATCTAAGTTCTCCCACTTTATTGGACTTGTGGAGCTCTATGCCATTTTGGTGAGCCGGCTCCTCTGGAACGATCAACTTAGCGGGTCTCGCACTATTTATTTCATTGACAACAATAGCTCGATGGATGCATGCATCAAGGGGACCTCCGGATCCAAACCCGTCCGGGAGCTGTTGTTGTGCTGGGAGAAACTGGAAGAGAAGGCTCGGTCCTGGACTTGGTTCGCCAGAGTCCCGAGTCAGAGCAACCCAGCCGATGAGCCATCTAGAGCATGTTACGACTTGATGGTCAAACTGGGAGCCGTGAGGCGTCAAGCAGTTTGTCCTCTGACAGGGGTCCCTCTTGTAGATTTGTAAAAAAAAAACGTTTAATGAAAAGAAAGTGGGGAATGACTGAGATATGTGACAATGGTAAACTCTCTGTGGTGCCAGTCTCTTTGGAGACGATGAATTGCTGTGATATGTGAAAACAATAATGGAGCCAGTGGTGAACGTTTCATGTGGAAACGATGCGGCTCATTCCAATGCCTATGGAACCATAGCTCGGTGACATCGAGACTTTGCCCACGTGAAAAAAAGAGCAGCATGTGTGACCGAGTGAAACTCCATTGGTCAAACGAAACAAACTGATGTCCAGCCTTTCCTTTGTCATTGATGTGTTTCAGTGAATTCCGAGTGATCTCATTTGTGAAACTCCGGCGTATCACGTGCGTACTCCTGTGAATATATATATATATGTATATATTTGTACGTATGTACTGATTTGGTTATCGGCTTGGTAGTATGTTTGTTTGACTGGTACGCCTATGAGTATGTTGGGTCCCCCTCCTTGTTCGTTGAACCCATGGATTCTTTTGTTGGGGGGCCCCCCCTTTGTTATATTTGGTTGAGCAAGAGTTTATAAGTTTCACTAGGCGCTAGCCTTGTTACCTTATCAACTCGCAGGTGTGGCGTGCGCCACCTCAACCCCAAAAAAAAAACCTGAACCCCCCCCCCCAAAAAAAAAGTAGGAGGGGTTGGAGGCGAGAAGAAACACTCTGTGTTTGCGAGAGACTTTTTGTTTGTGTTTCTTTTTAACTTCTGTTTCGTTTGAACCCCAACTGTTTGAAACATTCAACCTGGTTTGTGGAATGTTTGTTATCTGGGGTCACTGCGTAATCTGTGAGTGATGCAGTTTCCCCTCAAGTGAGCTCGTTGGCAGTTGGCCAACTGTTTTTGTTCCCCCCCTTGCTTCGCACTCCCTCCCTGTCTCTCTTTGTTTATTGTCCATGTGGGACATCTTTTCTTCTCGCCCATACCCTGTATCTTTCTACATAGTTGCATGGCAACATTGCTGACACTTGGTCAGCTCATCTGTCCATGGACAGGATGTTTGGCCATTTGGGCCTTTGATCCTATGTGCTTGAGCTCTGGCTCCAGCCCTGTAAAAATCTTTGAATTTCCGTACACCCATCCATGTTACGTGCTGCACGCCATACCAGTATCTTGCGCCTGCAAGTCCTGCTTCACCAATTCCTGTTCTTTGCCAAGGTTCGAATGACCGTCCTCCAGTTGCAATGCCACATTGAGGAGACAGTTGACCTTTTGCAGGACATGGGTTTCGACGGCCATTTTATTGTCATTTTTCTGGACCAAGTTCATGCTGAACTCCAAAGATTTTTGCGTATGTGTGATCGCGCCATTGCTGGCCTCGAATACCGTCTTTTTGACATTTTTCTCCGACGCCTTCGCCTTTGACTCCAATTGCAGCTTCGCGATTCCTCGTCGGGAATGACTGAGATATGTGACAATGGTAAACTCTCTGTGGTGCCAGTCTCTTTGGAGACGATGAATTGCTGTGATATGTGAAAACAATAATGGAGCCAGTGGTGAACGTTTCATGTGGAAACGATGCGGCTCATTCCAATGCCTATGGAACCATAGCTCGGTGACATCGAGACTTTGCCCACGTGAAAAAAAGAGCAGCATGTGTGACCGAGTGAAACTCCATTGGTCAAACGAAACAAACTGATGTCCAGCCTTTCCTTTGTCATTGATGTGTTTCAGTGAATTCCGAGTGATCTCATTTGTGAAACTCCGGCGTATCACGTGCGTACTCCTGTGAATATATATATGTATATATTTGTACGTATGTACTGATTTGGTTATCGGCTTGGTAGTATGTTTGTTTGACTGGTACGCCTATGAGTATGTTGGGTCCCCCTCCTTGTTCGTTGAACCCATGGATTCTTTTGTTGGGGGGCCCCCCCTTTGTTATATTTGGTTGAGCAAGAGTTTATAATTTTGACTCTTGGTCGAACTACAAAGGTCGCGGTGAGTTGGTAATGCCCACTTAGGTGATGTCGCCTATTGGCTGCTACCATCACATCTATTTGGGCCGCAGCTATATAATCAGTGGGACATAGTACTCTATCAAGTGCTGAACTTCCAGTAGGGCTTTCAAAGGTGTGAAGTTGTGGATGCGTGTCGAGAACTTGCGCGTGGACTAATAATTCATTCCAAAGGTCCGGACAACTGGCATCCACCTGGTTAAAGTCTCCCCCCATATAGAGGGGAAGTCTACTCTACTGGTCTTGACCCAGGCGATTAATTCTTTCAGCTCAACGACCTTGGTTTGTGGATGTAGATACACTGACAAGAGTCCGATGGTAGAATATCTGTCTTGGATTACCGCAAGGACAATGCGACCTGGTATGACAACTTCTGTTCGGTCAAGTTTCCACCCAGGTGGAATTAGGGCTGCCGAACCACCCGACACTCCACCTCTTTCTGTTAACAATCCTTGGGTGTGTGCAACTTGAATACCTGGTATATTATGGTGCAAGACCTGATGGGTTTCAGCGTGCCATCTGGTTTCTTGTAGTAGAACCGGGCCTGTGCGTAGCAGTCGCTTAATGAGTCGCATTTTGGCATCCCCCGTTCTAGTTGCAAGTGTCCACCCTGATACATTCCACACATGTAATCGTTTAAGCCTAAATGGAAGATCTTGTCTGATAGCTTTTCGGTATTCGAGAATGCCTCTTCCTATTTCTTCTACTGCAAGAGAAGGTAATGTTCGTGAGTCACACATAAGTTGCTGATAAAAATCATCAACACCCTGATGGAAAAGTGCGGCAACATGTTGCAGGGTTAGCTTCCACCATGGTGTTCGGACATGGAGTATATTGGGCAATATTGATAGGTCACGTATCTTTGATAGATATGGCGGGCATTGAGTCCCTGTTTCGTATAGGTAAGTCGTTTTGACACATCGCGTAAGCATCTTGAGCATAGTACGGAGCAGTGGAGCAGGCAGGTTCCGCAGAATCATCATTATTTCGAGTGAAAGAGTTCACTTTGCTCCCTCCGTTGGGGCTTCTCCAAGTGCGAAAAGCAGCCTGCTCCACTCCTCCGTACTTGCAGAGATAAGATATTCTCCTGATGGGTCCAGTGTATGGGATTGTATGAGTCGAGTTCCAAGTTGCCTGGGCATTCGTCGCATGGACGATGACTGCGTATACCACATTGGTGACCATACGACAGAGGTGGCAACTTTGTACGCAACAAAGGACTCAGAGTCTGCAATAGCTCGAACTTGGTGATTGTCAACCACATGTATAGCGATCCATTGTGGAATGGCACCACTAACATCTCGTGCTAATACACCTACAATACTTAAGCCGCCTGTGCCATCAAGACCACCAAGTAAATGAATGACAGTGCTAGCGGGCGAGGCATTGTGCATAAAGCACTGCGGGGCACCAAGCGTGTGCAAGTAACACAAAGCACAGAAAGGGCACTGTAAAGCCGCAAATTCACTCAGATGTATATAGTGTTGTCCATCATCAATTCGAGCAAGTATCGGGTAGGCGTCCCTGTGGAGTAGTTGGTAGGGCGTCGTTCTTGACGACGCGGACAGACTACCGGTGGTGGTTCGATTCCCCGCTGGTCCGCAGGTAAGCCTCAAGTGTGGTGACCAGTCGAAAGACAATGGCGCCGGCCACAAAAAAAAAATTCGAGCAAGTATCGGGTAAGTCGCAAATGTATGATAGGAAACTTGCACCACATCAGCAAATATCTTTGGCATGTTGGCATGAATAAGAAGATCTTTACTTTGACGATAGTCAAAGGCGACCGTTCCAAAGCGAAACGGTTGATCAGGCTCATGAGAAAGCAACAGGAATAACAGGCAAGGTCGCTGCACCCCAACATAGATAAGGGGAGGTTGCATAATTTTCGGTGCCCAAGTGATAAAACCGTAGGGAAATTGGTGCTTTACACTAAGCGTTGCAATCTGGAACAACAAAAAGTTGTTTGATAGCAGTAAGTTGTTCAGCAATCAAGCCATGGCGCCCGTTGCTGGTTTGCTCAGCCTGCTAGCCATTTTTTTGTAGTCGGCGCCCGTTGCCTTTCGGCGGGTGTGATTCGAACCACCACCAGCAGTCTGTCAGCGCTGCCAAGACCAACGCCATACCAACTGAGCCATCGGGTCGCCTTTTGCTCAACCTGCTAACCAACTGCGTCTACAACTCGAATGCAGACTGAACATATGGATACAGCTCAAGCACTCCAGAGTCATAATGATGCACAAGATCTTCTCTTCCTACAAGACTGGCGGAAGCCATGAAGGCGTTGGACGGAAAAAAGCGTTGGACGGAAAAAAAATAAGCCTTAGCCGAAGGGGACGGGGGGAGAGGGGGGGGTGAACGAGGAACCGGAGCCCCTCAAGGTATCTTAAAGGGGGCTTCGAAGTTTCGAAGGTATCTTAAACGGGCTTCGAAGTCTTCGAAGGTACCTTAAGGGGGCTTCGACAAAGGTACCTTAATGGTTCTTCGCCGAAGACTTCAAAGTTTTTTAAGTAGGCTTGGACGATTCTTCGAAGCCCTCTTTTAAGGGACCTTCAAAGCCTCCAAGGCTCCTCAAGGTATCTTAAGGTGGCTTCGAGCGTTGAAGCCTTGACTAAAACCTTTAAAGGTATCTGAAGGGAGCTTCGAAGGCTTCGAAGGCACCTTAAGGGGGCTTCGAAGCCTTCCTCAACAGACCTTCAAATTCAATTTCTTAAGCTCCCCCCTTCAGGTACCTTCCTGAAGGGCCTTTCACCGACTGCCTGGGGGCAGTCGTGTGGAAGGCAAGAGAATTAGATTTCAGATCATGGTATTGTGGAAGGCAAGGGTGTGAAAATTTGACATCTGTGGTGAGATGAATCCATTGGTCTTTTCATTGGTCTTTTCTGCATTGGAAGAAGTGAATTTGGTTTTCACCTTGATGGTGAGTTCAACCGTGATGGTTGACATCGTATTTGCACGTTTCATGTTTTGCACGTTTTATTGGAGATGACGAAACCCAACAACGATATACTTTTCGTCTTCTTTGAGTACTTTGATTGCACGGAGAACATCGTGAGGATTTGAATTTGTATAGTGACATGGAAAATCAAACCATTTTCCATACCTTTTGCATTAGTTGTCGTCGACGAAGTGCACGAAGGAATCGTGAGAAGATCGTAGAATTCATTTTGTGACTTCGGAAGAAGGAACTTTGTTTGACATTGATCGGAGAAGTGTAGGTTGTTTTGTCTCTCAATGATGATAGCGAGAGCAACGTTCTGAAAGGCATTCAGAACTGGAGTTGCTAACAGATCTGAGGGAGACATCATGAATCATGTTTTGGTGCTTGAAATGTTTCAACGTTTTTCAAACACTCAAACTTATTTAAACAAACAAACCATGTCTTGATGTAAAGACTTTTTGTGAGGACATGTGTTTTTGATCGCTTTTGTGAGAGTTAGCAGAAAGATGCTGACTGGCGACTCCGCATCATTTTGTGTCAAGGCGTGACACACCAACAAGAACCATAGCGACATGAGCAAGACATCTTCTGTGCTTGTGTGTGTAAAAGTGGCTGAGCTCTGGGAGTGGTTGACTTGGTTGCGTGGACGGTCTTAGTGAGTTAAGGACGACGTCCTGGACGCTGACCCAAGTAGGTTTCGAAGGTTGCGGTACCTTCTGCATGGTAGCGGAGCTGCCTGCTTGCTGCGCGTAAGTAGGAATGGATCCGGGTAGTGTGAGCCAAGGTGTGCAAGGTTGTCCTAGTCCTGGTATGGCTGAAAGAGGTGAAGGAAGTAGTGGTACCGGAAATGGTGGTTGTAACCGTAGTGACGGATTGCCGCCAGTGCCAAGAACGCCTAGTCAGCAAGGTAGTGGATCTGGGATGGATGGACAAACACCTGAAGTAAGTAACATGCCCCAGCAGCAGCCACAGCAACAACAAGCAAATGTGTCACAGAACGTACAGGGATTTGCGAGCACGACAAACCTGGATGCAGGTGGTCAAGGAGGTCCGGTGCAGGGATGTCAACAAGGAAATGTCCCCGGAATGCAAGGACAGGGACCAGCATGGTTTGGTGCGCAATGGATTCCCCAACAACAAACGTTTATGCAACAGAATTCGCAAGCGTGTGTACCAAGTTTTGGTTGTGCGAGTATGCCTGGTGGACCAAGGTCTGGAAGTTTTCCAAACTTAGGAGTGAACCCAATGAGTTGCCAAGGAAACATGCCGAGTGGCCCGGTTGGAGCGAGCTTGGGAGGTTTGACGCCTCAGGCGGCGCAGATCCAAGAGGTCATGGCCATGTTAGGTAGCATGAGTGAGGGACAGCTACAGACAGTGCAGCAGCAGATGCAAGATCGTTTTGTAACTATGCAACAGAGAAGAGGGGTTCCAGAAGTGTTTGGTGATGGTCTTGGTAGGGCAGCTGATTC